GTCGTCCTTTACTTATGCGAATAAAATTACTTGTTTCTACCTGGGGTCATACCATATTACATGTTGCATCATTAGTTCGTATACGACCAACTACTTATCATAAGTACTCACCAGTGCAACTTGTTTATGGTCAACAACCAAATATATCTCACATACGAGTTTTTGGTTGTGCTGTATATGTTCCAATTGCACCACCCCAGCGCACTAAAATGGGTCCTCAACGTAGACTTGAAATTTATGTTGGTTTTAATTCTCCATCTATTATTAGATATCTTGAACCCATGACAGGTGATGTCTTTAAAGCACGATTTGCTGATTGTCATTTTGATGAGACAGTTTTTCCACCATTAAGGGGAGAAAAGGCACAGCAACAATGTGATCTTACTTGGAATGCCCTGGAATTGTCTCATTTTGATCTTCGCACAAATCAATGTGAACGAAAAGTTCAGAGGATCATTCACTTGTAAAATGTTGCAAATAAATTACCTGATGCATTTACTGATACAAAGAAAGTGATAAAATCACATATACCAGCTGCAAATGTGTGAGCACGAATTGCTGTCCCTTAGGGACCTTCTATCAGTAATGCAGCAAATGCATCTAAAACACACCTGAAACGTGGTAGACCAGTTGGTGCAAAAGATACTACTCCTCGTAAGAGGAAATCACAAAGAAAAGCTGGTACTCATAAAGAGGCCACAAAAGGAGCAACAGATATTATTGATCAATCTGAGATAATAGCCTTTGATAAGGTAGAGGCTCTTGATGAGTCTCAGGTACCTAAAAATAATGAAATGATAAATATTAATGAGGCAAAGGCCACAGATGATGATATGGTCCTCGATGAGGCAAAGGTACCTAAAAATGATGAGATCTCATTAAATTATGAAACGAGATAGAATATAAATGAAATTGTTGTCGACAACATATTCTCATATCTCGTTACTCTTAAATTGATAATGAGGATCCGGAATCTCAAAACGTCGAAGAATGTCGACAAATAAATGATTGGCCAAAATGGAAAGAAGCGATACAAACAGAGCTAAATTCATTAGCTAAACATGAAGTATTTGGACCAGTAGTCCAGACACCTGAGGGTGTTAATCTTGTTGGGTACAAATGGGTGTTTATACGAAAACGTAATAAGAAAAATGAAATTGTGAGATACAAAGCTCGACTAGTAGCTCAAGGTTTCTCACAGAGACTTGGTATTGATTATGAGGAAACATACTCTCTTGTGATTAATGCACCTACTTTTAGATTCATAATACATTTGGCAGTCACAGAAAAATTGCATATGCATCTAATGGACGTGGTTACAACATGTTTATATGGATCACTAGATAGTGATATTTATATGAAAATCCCAGAAGGATTTAAAATGCCTGAAACAAAACCACGTAATATGTACTCGATAAAATTACAACGATCCTTATATGGATTGAAGCAATCTGGACGAATGTGGTATAATCGCCTTAGCAATTACTTGCTTAAAGAAGGGTATGTGAACAGTCATATTTGTCCATGCATTTTAATTAACAAATCAGAATCTGGTTTTGTTATTGTTGCAGTATATGTTGATGATCTGAATCTTGTGGGAATATTGGGTGAGATCGAAAAGACAGCCACTTATTTAAAGAAAGAATTTGAAATGAAAGATCTCGGAAAGACAAAATTCTGCCTTGGGCTGCAGGTTAAACATTTTTCGAGCAGTATTCTCATCTATCAATCAACATATACAGAAAAGATTCTGAAACGTTTTCATATGGATAAAGCCTATCCATTGAGCTCTCCAATGGTTGTCCGATCACTTCATCAAGAAAGATCATTTTCGTCCTCGAGAGGATGATGAAGAACTCCTTGGTCCTGAAGTGCCCTATCTCAATGCGATTGGTGCTCTTTTGTATCTTGCAAATTGCACAAGACCTGATATAATTTTTCCAGTCAATTTATTAGTAAGGTACAGTTCTGCACCAACTCGCAGACATTGGAATGGAATCAAACACATATTACGATATCTTCGTGGCACAACTGATATGGGATTGTTTTATTCAAAGGTACCAATCCTCAATTAATTGGATATGCAGATGCCGGCTATCTCTCTGATCCACATATAGCCTAGTCACAAACAGGGTATGTGTTTACCTATGGCGGCACAGCTATATCATCGCGATCTATGAAACAGACAATGATTGCAACTTCTTCAAATCATTATGAGATACTCGCAATTCATGAGGCCAGTAGGTTGGTTGAGGTCAATGATCCAACATATTCGAACAATATGTGGTCTCTCATCAATAAAAGATAACCCAATAGTATTATATGAAGATAATGCGGCATGCATTGCACAGATGAAAGAAGGGTATATTAAAAGTGACAGGACCAAGCACATCTCACCAAAATTCTTTTATGCACATAAACTCCAGAAAATGGGTGATATTGATATTCAGAAGATACGTTCATGTGAAAATCTGGTAGATCTATTTACTAAAACACTTCCAACTACAACATTCAAGAAGCTGGTGCACAACATTGGAATGCGTCAACTAAAGGATTTTCAGGGTTGATCTAATGAGGGGGAGCAGTTGATCAAAGGTATTGGCATGTTGTACTCTTTTTCCTTCGTCGAGGTTTTGTCCCACTCGGTTTTCCTGACAAGGTTTTAATGAGGCAGTTTTTAATTTATGCAATACCATTTTCAGATACATAAGAATATTGTACTCTTTTTCCTTCGCTAGGGTTTTTGTCCCATTGGGTTTTCCTTAGCAAGGTTTTAACGAGGCATATTCTTAGTATAATATTGTGGACCCCAATGGAGAGTGTTATATATATATATATATCTATGTGTGGTCCACAATAAACTAAGTCAATAGATGATACAAAAGTGGCGTGAGAAGGAAGATTGGAAGCTTAACTTACTGTGAAAACCATTATTATGGCTTGTTTGGGAAGCCTCAGTATATGCCTATAAATAGGCTTCTTGTTTACAATTGAGTGGGTGTAGAAAATAATAAAATCAGTTCGTCTCTCTCTTTTCAGTGCTCTCTCTCTCTAAGCTCTCTCACTCAATATTATTCTATATATATATATATATATATATATATATATACACTCTCACATATATTTTATTATAAATTTATTAAAGTTCATTTTTTTTTTTTTATGTTTTATTTTTATTTTTATTTTTATTTTTTTTCATGACAACAATGTTAGGAGTTAGTGATTAGCAAGGAGATGGGAGTACGAAGGCTTGAATTTGGGCTGCAGGAGCAGCCTTGAAATTGTTAAAATTTTGAGAAACTTTAGGCGAGCGAGACCCTCGAAAGTTTGCGGCCCTTCTAAATTGGAGACCCTAAGCAATCGCGTGAACAACCTATGCCCAGGGTTGACCCTGCAGAGCTCCCAAGAATAACGGGAAGCAACACTACCGCTTAGATTATGAAGACATTCGCCAAATATTAAAATTTTACTCTAAATTTAATCACAATTTTTACCCTTTAAATAAACTCAAATTAAAAGAGTAACATCATATTTGAACTGAAAAGGTAATATTTAGGGTAGAAGGTCTTGCTTTGTCTAAAACTTTTAGGTCAAACGTCAATTTTAACTTTTTAATGGTGAGAATCTAATTGGAGTCACCACCACGGTGGTGGTATATCAGTGGATATGCTATCTACATCCCATCTGTTGTTGATGCAAAGGCGAGCAGAAGAAGGTATGGAGATGATAATTGAATGCGAAGTGAGAGTAATTCAAAATGTATAGAGAGATCCAAATTGATTTGCAAAAGTTGTAAATTTTTATCCAATTAAATATAATATATTATAAATTTAATAAGATATGTAATGTGTTTCATCATATATATGTGTATATCAAATTTCGTATTTGTATACATATATATATATCAAATATATATTAATAAAATTTTACAGATGTACAAATATTCATAATTTGTGAATTTTGCAAGTTTGCTAAATTTGTTGTATATCAATTGTTTTTTCTAGTTAAAACTCACACACACTTATATTAATTATTTTTTTTAGTTGATATTCACACACACTTATATCAAATTTTTTTTTTTTCTAGTTGGTACCACAAGCACTAATTTCTTATAAGACTTGAATTTCTGTTATTTTTTTGAAAAGTAAGAAACTGATACCGTTAGACGACTAGTACCGTTAGTAATTTGTTGTATATCAATTCTCGTGTGTTTAATAATATATATTTATATTTAATAAAACATATGTTATAGTGAAAATAATTTAAATAAAAAAAAATAGGAAATTTGAATTCGGACACCTCGATCCTCAAAAGCCTCCTATAAACCACAATTGGCAAGGAAGCAAGTGGCTTGTGAGTGATTGGGCTGAGATTTTTTTTTTGGCTCATAAATTGAAGATTTATATATATATATATATATATATATATATATATATATATATATGGTTGTATATTAGTATTATTAGAGCACCCATATTCAACCAATAGACCGTGCAGACCCTTTATTTCATGTGCAATAACCGAGAAATAAGGTGGCTCCAAGCAATTGAGTTGGTTGTATACGTTATTGTATCTCCAATAACTTTCTAAACTCAAAATATGATAAGTGGATGAAAAAAATTTTTTTAATGAATTCTTAAAGATTTTTTATATTTTAAAATTGTCAAAAGTTATTAAAATAAAAATTAGGCATTCTAATAAGCTCTAAAAATATGAAATGATTGTTACGTAAAAAAATAACATTTTGAATGAAATACCTAATTGTAAAACTATAATATTAATATATTTTGAAATTATAACTCCCATTAAAATATAAATTTAATATGAAAATATAACATTTTATATTAAAGATATTGTTATACGTCCGTCTGTGGTCCGTACGCAGTACTCGACGACTCGTAATAAGGGCAAGAAAGTCATCAACGTTGACAGTTGACACCAACAAGGTAAGTTTATTTGTGTAATTTTTCTAAAGATGAGGGATGTCGTTGCAATTTACCTTATTACAGTACAAAACCCAAAACCCTTGCGGAGGGAGCGTCTGTGTCGTCTTCAACCCTCCGCAGCTCTTCTTCGTGTTAAACTCCTCTCTCTACTTTCTCTCTCTAATCAGCTGATTTTGGGTATTAATCTTTTTTGGTTATGGCGAGAATGAAACTGAAATCTTTCCTAACATCTTTCACTCCTGAAGGTGACCATCTCGCCATTTTATCCTCAAACGGAGTCGTCAAAGTAATCCCTCGTTCTCTCTCTATATTTGCATATATACATAATTTCATTCTAAGAGAAATTGAATAGGATTGAATAGGTATTCATAGTGATGTGTATCGCTAATTGCTATTTGCCATTTTAGTAGTGAATTAGGTTTGTTCTTTCTCGTTTTCTCCAGGTTTCTGCTTGAACTAATCCAAAAGTATTTGAATTGCTACTTCTGCACTTACAAATTTTGTAATTCCTTACATTTTTTTTTTCTTAAAATATGTTGAGAACTAAGTCAAATGGTCCGTCTCAATTGCTTCAATCTATCCTTAAAAATATTTTCTCCTTTAGGCTGGATTTGAAATTTAGTCTTAATGTTATTTGGCACCCTGTATTAATATCATTTTGGCAATTGTCAACAATTAATCGCAAATGTTAATATATTTGTCTGTGTATATATGTTGCATATTGTAAACAATAACTTCAAAATTGATATATAGTTATTCTAGAACTGCTTTTTATTTTCAATTTTGCTCAACATTATTATTTTTTTCTCTGGATGTATAATAAAGTTGGAGAAATTTACATAGAAGGTTTAATTATTATTATTTTTTTTTCCCGGTAATTAAAAGGTTTAAAATTGTTGCTTGAAGTTTTGCATAAATCTCAAACCAGCTTCTTTTTTCTCTTTCCTCCTAAGAGCAATTATTGCTTGAGACTATTTTCCCAGCATTTCTTCGTCAATTATTGCTGTATTTTATGTTTATAAGTATTTTTGTGCTTTTATCCTGATACATTGAAATACCTAATTTCTCGATTTACAGATCTGGAATACAAGTAATGGAAGTCTACTGGCAGAGTGGAAGCAGTCAGATGGGGATTCTGATATTAGTTTTTCTCGAATGGCGTGTAGTTTTTTAGGGAAGAAGGTGGTCTCAAACTCTCCGAGAAATCCTTTAAGAGTGTTTCATCATTTCTCTTTTGGACGCTTAGAAATTCCTTCATGATGGTTATGTGATATTTGGGTTGTTTGTTTCTTTCTCAATCTTTTAGCGCAGAAGAGAAGGTGCTACTTTCTTATTAGCTCTTGGCACAAAAACTGGGGAAATTTTGGCCATTAATGTTTTCACTGGTGAGAGGAAGTGGAGATCTACTGGAAGCCATCCTGGGTGAGTTTTTTTACTTCTTATCTGGAAAAATGAAAATATCAGTCAGGTAGGTCATGTGGATGGCGTTGCATATGTGTCAATAGGTACTATAGGCAAGGATAAAGCCCATCATTCAATTATTTATGCTAAGATCTCCCATGTCAACAACTGATCTCACTGGTCTATGTTTATTGTTCATAGCATATTCATTGAATCAAGTTATAAGTCAGGATAGATTGAATGGGGCTGCAATCAATTTTTGTCCATTCCATTGTGTATATAATATTTAAACGCATTTTCATGGATATTATTCTTTTGAATAGGTGGTGATCTGGAACTTCTCGTGTTAAGAAAATCATGGTGCAAGGGTTTAACTAGTTCAGCTAGCTTATTTGATAATTGGGGATTTAACCTCACGAGTTGATCTATTTGCTATTTCTATACTGTATAGTTTTTCCTTTATTGGAAGATGTATTGATGTATATATAAATTATCTTAGATTCTTTGGTAATAGTTAGAGCAATGGCATATGTTAGACCTCTTCTTCTACTTTTGTTCATTGATTTGGGTAAACTTCTTGGTTTTATGGGGCATGTGAATTTTCTTCCTAGAGAAAGTTGTTAGTGTTCCCAATTTTTAGCCATGTGCAGCATACATGTATGACTAGTTAATTTGACATCATGACTATAATACATCGCTTGTTTGCGTTATATAACTCTCATTTTGTTTCTCTATATAGTGGCATTGCTGGTCTATCGTTTGCAAATAGAGGCCGAAGTCTTTATACAGTTGGTACTAATGGAATAGCATCTGAGATGAATTCAGAAACTGGAGCATGCGTAAGGGAGTTAAAAGTTTCGAAGACCCTTATATCTTCTTCAGTTTGTTCTTGTGGTGAGTAGTTATATCTTTATTCTTCCGCATCATCAACCTAGTGTTTTTTGTTTGTTACATTATCTCTTATTTTATTATGGCAGATGAGAAATTTTTAGCTGTAGCCGGTTCTAAGATACGAGTTTTAAGTTGGGAAAATGGGAAAGAGCTGCTGAAGTTCTCTACTGATATGGCAAGTTACCTAGACTATCACATATTTTGAATATCACTCTGTAAATGCTTAAAGAATAAAATAGTTTTAATTTTTTTATTATTACAGGGTCCTGTGCAGTACATTTCTATAGCTGATGAAGCCAAGTCCATCATTACATCAGAATCTAATGTGAAACATCTTCAATTGTGGAAGTATGATTTGAGTACCAAGGCGGTAAGCAAAGGACATGTTCTTTCCATGAGACATCCGCCAATTATTCTTGAATGCAAGAATGGTTGCAGTAGAGAAGATGGTTTAGTTGTCCTCTCAGTTTCAGAGTCTGGTATAGCTTATGTGTGGAATTTGGAGAATATCTCTCCGGAGGAAATAAATCCAACTAGGGTGATTTTTAAAACTAACAAAGCTGAAACAGACCTGCAGAATAGTGGAAGTACCAGAAAAAGTGGCACTTCCTTTATTGCTGCTAGATTACATGATATTGAGGCGGATGGACGAGTGAAAGCCCTTTTTGCCTATGGTTCCTTAGATTCACCACAGTTCAGTTTCTTGGAAATTAATAATCCAGGGGAGGACATTGTTCTAGCTGCCAGAGATGAGACAAGAAAATCTACTGCTCAGGGCGTTCAAGAAGACGGGGTTCTTGCAGAAAAAGGTGTGCCAGAAGTTCTTTTTCCTTGCTAGCTGGCAGCCTCGCACTGGCAGATAAAAAGCTAACAATTTTTTTTATTTATTATTTATTTTTTTGTTATTTTCCTGGGTAAAGCTAGCAAGTTTTCTTTTCTTTTCTTTTCTTTATTATTTTTTTTTTCACACTTCATTATTGCTTTTGGTTTTTGTTGGTTTATTTTTTTTGTTATTTATTTATTTATTTTTCTCTTTTAAGAGTTATCTTTTCCTGATTTATTTTATTTGCTTCCATCTTGACTTCTAGTGGCTTTATGTAATCTGATTTTAAGGTGTTGTCTATCTGGAGTGCTGACTGAAATTTTGTTTTCAACTTCTTTCTTATTTCACTTTTCAATTGTCACTGAAATTAAGAATTCTTTCTTGTTTTCTAAAGTTCTGGCTTAAAAATAGATTCAATGTTGAAAATCAGTTCTCTCTGTTTATAATGCACAAATTCAACACTCATTTTTCTCTTAAAGGAGTTTAAACACCTATTAGAACTACAGATGATCAATGTTCGACTACATGGGTAAATGTTTTAAAGGCAAAGTTGATTTCTTTCATCTAATATATGTGCAAAACTATATATATTACGTGCTTTGTTGGAGTATTTCTTTCTAATGGTTTTGAAGTCCTGAAGAAATCTTCTTTACAGGCTTAAACATATTGGAGTTAGAAGCAGTAGCTGCACCAATCCAAAACAAAAAAACAAAAAAGAAACGTACAGCATCTGATCTGGGTCTTGCAGATACAGAAAATCCAGTTGGTAATGGTAAGCATAATTAAATGTTTTTATATTGTGCTATGATTATGTGTTAAGATCTCAGTTAGTTGATTTGTGTCTTGTTCATTTGGCGACACCTTTAAAAGAATGTCATTTGCTTGTGTTGTCTATTGATGAACATGCCTTCAAGTTTTAAGCATAATTACTCTAGAAACCTAGCTTCAGCTTCCTTTTCAATGTGCAATTTTTCACGTCATGTATTTTAAAATTAATTCAACTTTGTAAAAGATAAATATTTTTTATTTTTAAAAAATGATGATTTCACTATGTGCGATTTGTTAAAAATACATTATGATGACGTCACTATGTGCGATTTCACCACACTAGGGGCGATTTGTTAGGCGATTTATGCTTTGTTCGATTGGGATGAAATCCTTTCTGGAAATTGCAAGAGTACCACGGATTTCGCTTGGTGGGGAAGTGAAGTCGGCAGTTCCTCACCGAGTACCGTCGTTGTACATCGACGGGGAGTCTGTCGGAGGAAGGAAGTCTGTTCTCTTCTCCTGTTTGGTCAGAAGATTTGACAAGGAAGTGGGGAGTTGTGATCGCGTGAAAGAATGGGCAGCGCGGTGTCACGGGCTTAGAGTTTCAGCACCACTCTAGCTGCTCCCGTGCGGCACCAAGACGTTGCTTTTACTCTCGCAAGTACTTGGTCAGCCTAACTCCCATGCACACCTTAGCCAACACACTCCCCTCCTGCGCTTACTAGTGTTGTAGTTGCCCTCACCCTCTCCTCACTTAGGCTTGCACACTCACACACACTAAGGCACTTAAGTTGGCAAGGAAAGAACACTTCTATTACTTCAAAGAATGCTTTGTACAAGGCTAACACTCAAGCTCTCTACAAGGATCTCAAGACTCACTCTAGGACTTATTCCCTACAAAATGAAGTCCTACCTCTATTTATAGGCATCCCCATCCCTAATAGACGGCTAGGATGCATTCTAACCAACGGTGGAGATTGATTATCTAGAATCTTCTCCCACCTTCTTCACACTTCCATACTTATCTACTAGTATCTACAACATTCTAGAATTCTCCATACTATTCCACACAACTCTGGAGAACTCTAGAACCTTCCACACACTTCTACACATATCTAGAATCTTCCACATAACTCTAGACTATTCCGGAGACTCTAGAAACTCCCATGCCATGCAGCGTCCTCCTCAGCGTCTGCGTGTCGCCTGCGTGGCACAACCTCTATAGGCGGGGCGTGACATTCTCCCCCACCTATTTCCGTGACGCCCTCGTCACGGTTTCTTCAGCTGACCCAGCCTCTCGCAGGTTATCAGTACTTGCGCATAAGTCCTTGGCCCAAATGTACGCGCGCCCTTTGGGAGATGTGAGGTCCTCACGAGCTCCATCGTGTTGATTGCCACCTCTAGACTCTCCTTCCTGCCCACGAGCGGCACCATGCATGCGGCCTTACCTTCCTCGCCTCCAAGTATCATCAACGCACCAAGGCATGGTAGTGGCGCGGCGTTGTTCCTATCCATGAACTCCAGCCCGAGCACCATGTCGTGGTCGTCCATCTCCGCAACCTGGAAGTCGGCCTTGCCCTTCCATCCTTGCATGTATAGCTCCACCTCCTTGCACACTCTACTCACGCGTGCCTCTTCGGAGTTGACGGCCTTGATCCAGCCCTCCGTCTTGCGCATCTCCAAGCCAAGTTGTTGCGCCTCCTCTGGGGTAATGAAGTTGTGTGTGGCGCCCGTGTCCACCAACGCTTGCACGGCTTTGCCACCAACCTGCGCATCCACATAGCGCACCCTAGCTACCTTCTTTGCCTTGCCCTTCTTCTTGGTGTCATGCGCCATGCTACATGCTACTCAGCATCTGCATAGCCCCCATGCACTTATCTTCATCGCTGCCCGCATCGTCCACCTTGCCCTTGCCCTTGCCCTTATCCTTCACAAGGGCGCTCATGGTCTTCTTGTTGGGGCAGTGTCGCAATATGTGCGGCCCTTCGCACAAGTAGCACTTCGGTTCCCACTTGCCCTTATCGCGGCGCTCCCCATTGCCACTAGCCTTAGATCTCTCTCCATGGTCCTTGCCCTTATCATGGCGTAGGCGTCTCTCCTCATCGCTGTGCTCATCATCACTTGACTTGGGCGAGCCCTTTTTCTTGAAGCGACGGTCTCCCTCACCTTTGCCGTGGTCCCTCCTGGGAGACGTGGCCCTCTTGTCATCACGCCTAAAGTCTTTAAGGCGCTCCGCTATAGCCATTGCGGATGCCAAGTCTCTAGGCTCCCTCCTTCTCAGCTCTGTGGCTACCCAAGACTGCAACCCATCAATGAACAAGCACACGCGTTGCCGCTCCGGCATCTCTGGGATCTCCAGCATCAAGTTGGAGTACTCCTTCACATACTCCCGTATGCTGCCCTTCTGCTTCAGGTGCCTTAGGTTGATCATGGCGAGGTCCTCAACGCACTCAGGGTAGAACTGCCTCTTGAGCTGCCTTTTGAACTCCTCCCATGTATCAACTGCTCTTGCGCCCCTACCGGTGAAGCGCTGCCTCCACCATAGAGCGGCGGTGTCTGTGAGGTACATAGTGCCTGTCTGCACCTTCTCCTCATCATCCTCGATCTCCATGCACTCGAAGTACCGCTCCATGTGCCAGAAGAAGTTGTCAATCTGGCACGCATTCCTCGCCCCATCGTACTCCTTGGGCTCCGGCACCTTCTTCTTCCTTGGCTTCACCACGACCTCGCGCGCCTGGGAGAACTCCTTCTTGCACTCGGCAATCTCCACGCGCAAGTCGTCTACCAGATCATGCAAGTCCCTTTCCTTCTCTTGCGCCTTGTTGGCGATGCCATCAATCAGCTCGTAGAGCTCCGCCATCCTTCTCTCGAGCCTATTAAACTTAGTCTCCGTGTAGACCAAGTGTGTGGCAAGCTTCTCCTCCAAGCTCTGCTCTAAGATGCGGACTTGGTGGTCTCCTCCGCTAGCCATGTCTACTCCAACAAAGCTCCCTTGATGAACCTGGCTCTGATACCAACTGTCACGGGCTTAGAGTTTCAGCACCACTCTAGCTGCTCCCATGCGGCACCAAGACGTTGCTTTTTCTCTCGCAAGTACTTGGTCAGCCTAACTCCCATGCACACCTTAGCCAACACACTCCCCTCCTGCGCTTGCTAGTGTTGTAGTTGCCCTCGCCCTCTCCTCACTTAGGCTTGCACACTCACACACACTAAGGCACTTAAGTAGGCAAGGAAAGAACACTTCTATTACTTCAAAGAATGCTTTGTACAAGGCTAACACTCAAGCTCTCTACAAGGCTCTCAAGACTCACTCTAGGACTTATTCCCTACAAAATGAAGTCCTACCTCTATTTATAGGCATCCCCATCCCTAATAGACGGTTAGGATGCATTCTAACCAACGGTGGAGATTGATTATCTAGAATCTTCTTTCACCTTCTTCACACTTCCATACTTATCTACTAGTATCTACAACATTCTAGAATTCTCCATACTACTCCACACAACTCTGGAGAACTCTAGAACCTTCCACACACTTCTACACATTTCTACACATATCTAGAATCTTCCACATAACTCTAGACTATTCCGGAAGACTCTAAAAACTCCCATGCCATGCAGCGTCCTCCTCAGCGTCTGCGTGTCGCCTGCGTGGCACAACCTCCATAGGCGGGGCGTGACAGCGGGCTTGGAATACGACCTGTGGAGTGGGGTATCACCGTTATCCGACTCATTGCTTCTCTTCCGATTTCCTTCTCAGGCAGAGGCCAAACGTGTGTTGAAAGAAGGGCGACGATAGTGGGGTTTTGCAACTTTGAGGATCGACTTGTGGTCCTTTCGTGTTGGATGTTGTGGCGTTCTCAGTGATCAAGGTCTCAAGCAGATCCGGTTGTTTGGTCTCCCATTGCATCTCTGGTGTCATGCTTTGTTCGCCGAAGTGGGAAAACTTTGCGGTGGGTTCGTCAGATCTGATGCGGATGAGACTAGGGATGCTAAAAGCGTTCGGATAATAGTGCGATCCGGTCCTGATTGTCCGAAGTTCGTGTTTATTAATGATGACACTTTCTGTTATAAGGTTGCGATTTGGGAAGAAATTTCGCCGGAGCTTGTTCCTTCAACGGAGAGCCTTGAAGGCAGTGATGGATCTCATCTTATGTCGAAAGAGAAATGGAACGAGATTCTTAGTAAAGGAAAAGAAGGGATTCTAGAAATTCAGCAGTGGCTGAAGGATCGCGAAACTCAGCAAGCTATAAAGTTTATTGGAGGTAGACGACAAAGTGAGTTCCACGCGCCGGCCAAATGCGTCGTTGATGAGCAACGCTGGTGTACACGTGGTGACCGACGAGATGCCCCTTCAAATTCGGCTTTATCCTTATATTTTGATGATAAGGTAGGGGAAGATTTGCTTCGGGCTGAGAAAGGCGGAGTGTTGGTCCATAAGAGACAGGCCAGGAGGACTGGGCCTGGTTTCAATCATGGGCTCTCTAAATCCAACAGAGCGAATTTGGGTTCTGGGCCTAATCGACGGGTACAGAAAGGGCCACTTAGATTTGGTCAAAGTGGGCAGCTTCAGGTTGGGCCTATTAGGTCTGGGCCTAAAAGAAGGGTTCGTAAAGGGCCTAATTCGTTACTTATCTCTTTTCCAATTACTGATCTTGGCCCTAAAGATTCACAAGTCCATTCTAAGACTTCAACTCATTTGTTGAAACCTAAGAGGAAAACAATGAACGTCGGTCACCATGGATCTCGGTGGACTCGGACTGAGAAACAAAAATGGGTTGCACGATCTCACTTTTTTTCTCCAGGTTTGTGTTCTGATCTTCCTTTAAACGCTCTTTCTACCTCTTCTTCTTCGGGTGGAGAGATAAGGAATGTTGTGGAGGATGTATCAAATCAATAGAGAAGTATTATTGGGACTTCAAGTCTATGGCGTGATGGGTCAAAATTGGATGTCTCAAAGGTCACAACTGGGAGTATGGGTTTTTTCAATGGAGTGACAGTTTGC